ATATATATTTATATATATATAAATTCATAAATAACCGATGAAAGTTTTTTTTTGTGATAACAGAGAACTTAATACTGAAATATATATAAACAGTGAGTAGTCATAAGTAGGAGAAAATAAATAAATTCTATCAATAAAGATATCTACTAAAAAACAACATCTACTAAAGAAAGCAAATTTCTACTTCAAGCATAAACCATTTCCGTCTAGATATGCCTTTTCAGTTACTATAATTGATGCTGTTAGCTGCAGGATGAGATCCTTTAATTTGAATTTCTGCTTTATCTTCAAGGTCATTACCTTACAATTAAGTATGTAAATTTTCAGGAAAGCTCACTTTTATTCTACTAATACTGCAACCCTATTAAATTTGAAGTTCACTTGTATTACGGTTATTTTTATCACGAAACATGCTCTTCAAAGTTAAAAAGGTAGATCTATATCAAATGTTATCCCTCAGATTTTGTTACCGGCCTGCTGTAAATTTCATAAAAAATATATCAATGTACGCACACAAAACTATTATTTTATAATGCTAAACATAAAAACATGTTTTGTTAAAAGTCTGCTGCAAGTTTCATAAAACTATAGCAATATATACACTCAAAACTATTATTTAACGACGCTAAACATGCATATCATAAAAAATATACAATAATAAACACATTGAAGTTACTTTCATATAAAGTGTGCATTCTATTTCTTTCCTTCAAAATACCTTAAAATTCTATCAATCTTTTAATCATCAGTTTTTGCAGTTGTGCAGCAATGCATTTAATTTTGAAAATAATTTCACAGTCATATAAAATCTTTTCACATACATCAGTCAATACAAAGTCAACATTCCAGAGCATTATTCAAAGCGAAATACCTAATGATTACATTGCACAAAACATAAAATTATAGTCTCGCATCTCCCTTCTATGCATAACTTCAAAATTAATCTGATATATATGTATAGTATTTTAAAAAAATACCCGAGCAATTCTTTAGGACTGCCATGGGCAACTAAAAAGTTGACTTAAAATACTATTTTGAATCTACTACGAAAAATTGGCGACTTTTTATCAATTCGCTGCTAAAAAGTAAATTAGCAAAGTTTATTTCCAACACCTTGGTATAAATAAGAATTAGTTCGTTTTTGCTTTATCCATTATCTATATTTGTCTTCATGTACAAGTTTTTTTTCTCTCTCCATTTGACCAATGAAATTAAAAGTGAAAATTTCATACCATGAAACAATTAGAAATTCAAAAGAAAAATAAATAAGCCATATTTCTTGCATATCTAAATATTAAATAATCAATATTAGTGATAGTAAAGCATTTAAATTTCAAATACAGGTAGGTAAGAACAGTTTCCGAACATTTCGATAAAGGGAAGAAAGAAAGAATCTCTTGGATGCTAGTGAAAAATTTTTATCCTAAAAAAATATGGAGTTAGTTGAGCAGCTAATAAAAAATACTAATGAAACTGTATTTAGATGATATATGTGTAATATGAAAAACATCAAATATTTAATTGTGAACCAAAACATTTCTGTGACTCTTGCAGGAAAATAAATATTCAAAAAAGGAGATTAAAAAAGGAAGTTATTTAATGGAAGTTATTTAGTCTACTTTAAATATTTATCATTTAACACAGCACGATACTGCTTGGCCAGGTAGTCCCAAATTATGAAAAATCCTGCAAACACAATGCAGAGAATCGTTTTGTCTTTCAAAAATGAAAGTTGAAATTGAAAGGAAGGAGGGGGAAAGTTTTAAATGGTGCTGTGAGTGTTACAGCAATTACTCCTGTAGTAAAACAGGCAAGAACTGGTTGTTTATCAGGTTATAAGTGCTTTTCAAGTAACTGATGAGTAATCTGTAATGCTACTAAGCAATCTCTAATAAACTTATGCAAAAAAGAAATAAAAAAATTACTGCATATTTTGAAACCGTACTTTATTTCAAAAGTGAATAAAGCGATTATTTTTAGAGTCTTATCTCAGTGGCTGCCTTGTTCATTAATCTTAAAAAAAAGGAAAAAAAAAAAGGAAAAAAAATTAGCATAGGGCAAACATTTAACAAGCAATCACATTTAAACTTAAAGTAAGCATGGAACTAAACATTCAACTAAAAACATTCAACTTTGGCTGTATTGATACAATATCAGAAAGCACTCTTTTTTGCGGATATAATCAAGTGGGCTGATGAAAAGATTATATCTTTTATTTTCCGGATTTTTTTAAAAAAAGTTTTATCCTTTTTTTTTTCCCCCAGTTTGTTGTTATTTTTTTTTTTATTATTATTTTTCTTTCTCCCCCTTTTTTCATATATATATATATATACACACAAACTTAAAAAAATTCATTTATTAATACAAAAATAACAATAGTGATGTAATTTTAATCTTGATTGATTTTCTTTGTTGATTGCTCTTTTGGAACAAGATGTTGAGAAAGTATTCACAATTTAAGGCAAACACAAAATACGTAGTAGGATTGTTCCATGTTTTTTTTAATTTTATTTATGAACTATGTTTTTTTTTATGAATGATTTCTTGAATTTGAGAAATTAATGAAAACTTCTTTTACTAAAAACAAATAATGCACATGCTAGTTATGATAGACATTTTCATTATTGTATTATTTAAAAAATCTTAAAAGAATATTTTTTTTTAGGTTACATCTCGTTGGACTTTTCGTTGCCCGGGTTGTCCTGTTTCATTATCGGAAGAAGATTCTCATTTTCAGGAGCGGCACAGATGTATTGACTTTTTCTCTCAGGTTTATGGTTACATGCCACTTCTTAATACACAATTCAGGGCTGATTCAGTACTTTTCAAAACAAGGATACCCCATGATAAACAGAAATGTTTTAAATTTATTTAAATCCTGAAATGTAAGATTTTTTTTCTGCTTGAAAAATAGTATATTCTCTAATATAGCGGTTCCCAAAAGGTGTTCTGCGGTACATTTAGGTATCATGTATACCTTGGGGTTACAAAAGTTTTGATTGATATGGTTTTTAACCAGTAATGATTTTAAAAGATTTAATTATATAATTTGTTTATAATTATTTAATACTAATAATTATTTCTTAAAAATATAGGTATTTTCTAATAACATTATGCAAAATTAATTATGTATAAGATATGCATTTATGTTTCCCTTTTTAAATTCAAGATTAAATTATTCAAAACATTAAATATTTTCATTATAATGTGTTCACATTAATTAATAAGTTACACATATTTTGATTAATATATTCACAAGTATTAAAGTACTTTATTTATGAAGTCAGGGTTTCATAGATAAAAAGGAATTGGGAACCACTACTATAATACACAAATTTATATGCTATTTGGGCATTAAAAAGCTTTTTTATTATTATTTCCAGTGATAAATCTTCAGTCATGTACTGATTTTTCAGTATAAACTGTTTACCCTATATGGCTACAAATTATCATCCTTAATTACTTCTTGTCCTTGAGATGCTGATGATGATAATCATCTTGTCTGTATGCCATAATACATGTCCATCGAAGGTTTACAAAGTTAAAACTTTGACTTAATCAGAGATAATCTTGTCAAATGACTTGCATTTATTAATGCTTTTATTTTTGTCCTGTATAGCTTAGTAGCTAACTTAATGTATTGTTCAATGTTAATTTCATTTATTGTCCTTTGATTTGTTTAAATACTTCTAAGCATGTTCTTTTTAAAAGTAAGTTATCTAAACTGCATATTTACATGTGTTACAATTTTAATTTATCTTGATTTTGTGTGTTAGCTATAAATGTAGAGAATCTATTAAAAATAGAGCTAATTATTTCATTTTGAAAAAATTTTTTGATTTATCACTTAGCTTTATTAATATTTTATGTGCTTTTATTTTAAAATATGTTTGCTATGTTTGAAAAACTAATTTCTTTGTGTAGAATATGACTCTATTTGAATAGAAGTCGTCTAATATATATATTAATCAATTTATAAAATGAATAAAAAAATTTATTTACATTTAAAAAAATTATTCTTATTTTGTTGCAAAAAAAAAAAAATATTGCATTTAACTNTGCTATGTTTGAAAAACTAATTTCTTTGTGTAGAATATGACTCTATTTGAATAGAAGTCGTCTAATATATATATTAATCAATTTATAAAATGAATGAAAAAATTTATTTGCATTTAAAAAATTTATTCTTATTTTGTTGCAAAAAAAATATTGCATTTAACTATTTTTTTTGTAATATTTTTTAATATTATAAAAATTATTTTCTCTTTATTTTATGTAAAAAAATTAATTTTGGCTATGAAGTTAAATTTCTTATTTTAATCTTGTGAAATCATTAATAGGTATAATCCATGTTACCTAATTCTTATTTAATTTCTTAATATGACGAGAAATACTTAATATAAAATGAAACAAATCTGATTTGCTTTTAAAATTTAAAAGCGCTAAGCCATTCTGGTTTGTATAAAATATAAAAGCGTATGCCTGTTTAATCAGTAATGCTGGTCATTATTAATTGATTGTTTCTAATAACCCCATTAAAATCTTATGAACCTCATATCTCCAGCTTAAAACTGTGTTCATTTTTATTATATAAAGCACCACATTTTGTTTACAGGATGAATTTATGTGTATAATGCCATTAATGTATCTATCTTTCAAAAAAATTTTATTTCTGCTGTGCCAGCATACTCTGTTGTTAAAATATTTTATGTTGAACCCCATACTATGGGTATTCATACCATTTTAATTGTTTTCATTTTATTTTGAATGTGTCTGTGCATTTCACAAACCTCAATGATTACCAATTCCTGTAACCAAAATTGTTTTTGTGGTTTTAGGAAATTAAAAGCATTTAAGATACATTTTAGTTGCTTTTTTTTAATGATGTAAATAAGTCTTTTTTTTGTACAGTTATGATGAAAATAATTAAGACGATAATATTTTGTTGTCTTCTTATTCAAATTCTTGCACATTCTCTGTTATGTTTTACAATCGTTACTTTTTCTCTTCTCTCTTTTTTTAAATTTTTTTTCATGGAAAATACCTAGAATTTAACACCTAGAAAAAGCTATTAAAAAGCATTTTTATTCATTTGTTATTGAAAATACAGTAAACTTCTGATTATCTGCCAGCAACAAAGATATATATATTATTTTTTTTAAACGTACAATGATAATATTTTTACATTGAAACAAAGAAATGAAGTTTTTCAATTAGATTTGTTTCAAATATAACTAAATATTCAATAACTAAATAAAAAAAAAAAAATTTTTTTTTTTGGGGGGGGGGAGAATCATTCTCTAATTCTGAGATGCATGTCACGATTTACAGCTATGTAAGTTACTGAATAAAGTCATACATATCAGAGAGATTGGACTCCCTGAGATTCTGTTTTTACTCCTATACGCTTTTGATATTCAAATCCATTTGATATTCAAGGCCATTAAAGTGTCAAAAAATTTAATTTTGTCAGGCACGCCTCACTGCCAGTCTTCTGCTGAATTTACATATATGAGTGATTGTACCAATTTCATGAATTATCAAGAGATTGCTGTATAATTTATATTCATCTACATCTACAACATTAAAACAGAAATTATGATTTATTTTTTGGGGAGAGAAAGTGGAATGATTAAATTAATAAATGAAATGTAACTTTTCCAGTGTTCCTATCATTGTTTGTTATAATATAGCCATGTATATTAATTGCTTTTCTATATGAATCTTATTAATATATCTCTGAAATTAACAAAAATTTATCATGTTTGCAAATTAGTACATGTACCTTCATGTTTGATCTCATAATCACTTTTAATATCTAAAAATTTATTATTGCTTATGTGTTGATTTTAGGATTTCATTCGCAAATGATTTTGATCTAATATTTTTGCTTTTTAAGTACTGAAATATTATATAGTTGAAATGAATTTAAACAAAGAAAATCATAAAAAGATTTTATTTCACTTCAAGATTTAATAATTTATTGATATTAATTACTTTTTGAAAATATGTTTGTACAGATGTAAATAAATATTATGTGCATAACAACCAAAGCATTTATTCATATAATGTAATTTTCTTTGCTATTGATAAGAAATCTATGTGTTATAATTGTGTTCTGTAGCATAAATAACCGTTCTTCCCCTTAATGTTTTGTAACATTATTTCTAGTCGAAATATGATGTGTTCTAGGAAGGACCTGGATGTTGGTGTTGCAATTAAAATGGAAATATTTTGATTGATGTCTTTTTCTTTCTCATATGTTTCAATCTTAATATATTTCAAGCATATAAAATGTGAATATGAAGTTAAGGATTAGTGCTTAGTTATTCTTAGATTTATTTAGAAAATTCTATTAAATTTGTAAGGCTCTTAAGTGTTTCAAAAGTTTTAGAGTGATTATTTGTTTTAACTAAAATATTTGGAGAAAAAATGCCTTAAATCAAAATAACTGTTAAAGTTATTTCAGAAAAATACCAGTTTAAAATATCATCAGCATCCAGGGTCTAGTTATTGTTAGTCATAATTTTTAATTATAAGTTAACATGTTGAATGTGGTGTTTGTTCTTATATCAGCATTTGAATTGCATCAATTGCTGAGAATTTTCTATTTCCTTTGTAGTGATTTGTAAGTGCCATTTATTTCTTGTTGTCAAATTTCAAGGCTTCAGTTGTAGGATTGTAAAAAGTATTTTCTTTGTACTGCTAATTTGTGTAACGCTTATACAGTATTTACAAATGTCCCTGAAAGAATTAGCTGTTTTAGAAATTAAAAATATGCATGCGAGTAAAGTTATTTAAATTTTGGTTTCTTAAAAGAGTTTTCAAAACAATATATTATTAAATTATATATGCTTTACTAAAATGTCCTAATTTTACCCTTTATACTTAATATAAGTCTTATTAATCTTTAAATGTTCAAATGAAGCAAATTGCTTTTTATCAGTAAAATTTTATGCCATCATAAAGTATCTAATGAAAATACTTGACAAGTTGTTGTTGTTGCGCGCCACCATTGGCCAGCAGTGCTAGACTAGGTCCATGACGTTATACACCCTCAAAAAATCCAACACCATCAGTAGATCATCTGCTAAATCCTACTTGGTGAGCCCCAGGCACGCTAGGATGTGGTGAGGCGAAGCCTGCTCTGAAGAACAACTTCAAAGTTCAATTACAAATTTCAAAGTTCTTGGATCCTTCTGAAAATTTCATTGATTTAAGGTGACCACTTCGAAAGCGGGCAAGAATAGTTTGTTCCTGTCTATTAAAACCTTGGGCCAAGAACACTGATACCATGGGTGCTTTGGGAAGACACTCCAAGTAATCTTGTTTTTGTGTTATATTTTTGAGAAGATTTCCAAAAAGGTGAGGGGTGCCGGCGGCACAGGGGACTCGCAAGCACCAGCTTTATCCAAAGTGTCCGTAATCTCGTTACCTTTAAAACCGTCGTGGGAAGGGATCCACTGCAGATGAATCTGATGCGAAATAGAAAGCCGTTTTAACTTTTTGAGTATTGACACTCTAACACTATCTATCTTGACACATGATCGTATTTGGTAAGAAGGTCCTGGGTTGTCCTGGGCCTTTTTTTTGAAGATTCCTCCAGGACAACCTATTTTTTGACCTGGACTGCTAGTCTTTAACCCAAATTACTCAAAAATCTGATTCCGCAGAATCAAGCCGTCGTCATTTTGGCCTTTTTCTTTTTTAAGTTGTGATGAGCATTAACGTTGTTTTTCGGAGCGATGTGATGATTTTAAACTATATACAGTCAAACCGCGCTATAGTGAACACGGCTTATAGTGAACGAAATGCTCGGTCCCGTGCCTTGCTATACACGTATAATGTTATTTTTAGTGGATATAGTGAACCAAAAAAGTGAGGAAGTTGGATATAATGAACTTTTTTCTGTCTTCGACTGATNTATATATGCTTTACTAAAATGCCCTAATTTTACCCTTTATACTTAATATAGGTCTTATTAATCTTTAAATGTTCAAATAAAGCAAATTGCTTTTTATCAGTAAAATTTTATGCCATCATAAAGTATCTAATGAAAATACTTGACAAGTTGTTGTTGTTGCTCGCCACCATTGGCCAGC